CCTCAAGAAAATGTGTTAAAAGCAATGGAAGTCCAATATTCTGGCCAATACGGTACTTTAAAATGCTCCACACTTTCTTCAATAGTCCAGGATTTTACTATCATCAATGCATTTTGTGTCATATTTCACAGTTTGACTGTTACTGACTGTATTGTCTTTCATTTACCTTTTACCATCCTAATTACTCATCAAATAGTTGGTTTTATTCAGTTGTTTTGGTTTGCATTAGTCACTAAATCTAATTATGCCATCCTACGTATTGTAAATGGCAACGGTATTCAATTTGATTACAAAGTAAGGACAACTATCTGCTTTGATTTATTTTTTCCAATATTCAGACAGATAAGCTTTTTAAAACTGCTCATCCCTTTCTTCCACAGTCTAAGAAACTGTCTTCTAAAAGACCAATAAAGACTGGTAAAGGTTCAGATAATATTCAGAGATCTGGTGCATTGATGTATTCAAGTATTCATTGATGGATACCTGAATACTGTCGTTTCCAAAATGAGACATTAATATATAGTATAAAAGTCAGGTTACTTGCATGTAAACATACTAAATTGGATATTCAGTGCAGATATTTGAGATTAGAATTATGTTAAATGCAATTCCTGAGACTTTTGCAGCATAATTTAAGTAAGTTTTTTGTAAATTATAAAATGATAATAAATCACAATTATGTGTTAAAATCACGTTTGCCCACCACATGAGCGACCCATCCATAATGAGAGCTATCCGGCTGCTGCCAAATCAGCTCTGATGGTTCGCTAAATAAGCTAGCACAAAGACAACTTTGTTTTGAAAAGAAAAAAAAAAAAAAGAAACAAAACTTGATTTTCTGCGGCTAACTTCCTCAGATGTGGTGAATTAGACCAACAACGTGCAGCTCCGGGTACGTTTGTGGATCCTGCCACGCTTGTTGGCTGTGAAATTAGCTGCCTTGCTAAGCGTTGGGCTAACCAGTGTTGCGGGGCCCTTCTTTGTGATGCAGGATCAGCCAATAATTAATATGGCCATGCAATAACAGCAGCGGATCTGCGCTCATCAACGCCGAAATCGCGCAAACGTGAGCGGAAAAACCGGCGAAATCTCGAGTAAAGTCTCCTCTATTCGAGCATTTAAACACTTCTGTACTTTTTACAGTTGATATTAAACATTTCTGAATTTGAGGCAGATATCACCACACAGGAGTCAAACAACATCTTAAAAAAAAAAATAAAAATGATGAAGGTGCTAAAGCTGGTTTGCGGCTCGTAATAACAGAAACTACCTCACGTCGTCTGCGCTCGTTTTTAACCTCCAAGTTGTTGGTTTTTTGTTTCCCGGACGACTGTAAAGTGATGGAGCGACAACACGGGCATGACCCACAACAAACGGCCCATTCAACTCCAGCGAACAATGATGCTCGTCCGACTAGCCGCTAACTTAGCGGCTAACTAGCGGCAGCACAGCGTCAGTGCGCTGCGCTTTGTTGTCCGGTCCCGTCCGGCGGAGTTTAAGCGCAGCGGCCGCCGGCTCCGACCGACGAACCGGGTTCGTATAAAGTTCTCTTACCGGTGCAGGACCATGACCCGCTGCTTTGGCTCGCGTAGTTCACCCTCGGCGGTCCGTTTTAATGTCTAGAGCCAAAACATTGTTCTCCCGCAGCTGCTGGGTTCTTCCATCTTGCCTCGGCGCAGAGCATTCTGGGTGCTGCAGGCGTCCTGAAGAACAGAGGACTACAATAGTAAGAGCAGCCTGCAGGGACGTACGCTGTTCCTTATCGTAATCTGTTCATCAGTCAAACTGTGCGTTTTTTTGTTTTTTTTTAGTTTGTAACAAAATATATAGGTTTGTAATTTTAGTCTTACTATTATTATTATTATTATTATTACTTTTAAATCACTTCTTAAAGCCCACTTTTATAGACTCACCTTCAAATATCACTTATATTAATTTTTTTACGGTGTGTATTTACATGTGTCTAAACCGTTAACTCATCCTGCCTCCTCTGGTGTTTCCTTATTGCATTTATTTATTCATCCTCAGTTCTTAACATTTAGTACGTTTAGTGTAGTGGTTGTCTTTATGAGTCCTTTAAATTCTGATGATTTTATGACTTTTCTGTTTTATTTTATTACCTTGTGAAGCACTTTGTAAATTGTATTTTGAAAAGTGTTATGCAAATTCTATTTCTGTGTTTAATCTGCCAGGTTTGTCATGTATCTGTAAGGATAATAGACAATGTGTTGAGCAGCGAGACAGTAAACAACTGCTAAAATCTTAACAGAGGCTCTCTTTAACATCTCTATTATTGTTGTTTTTTTGTGTGTACACACACCTTTAATTTACTGTCTATATGTGAAAACCCACTTGCCAATAAGATTCTTTATCATTATCAAGTTATTATTTTAATAGCAGTTTTGGTTTTTTAACAGACCCGAAAACCAGATATGAACTCATGTCTAATAATTTTAACAGCCACGGCTATAATTAATGCACTTAATGTAACTGCGTTTGTCACGTACTCTACGGCCTATAGATTATTTGTGTAACAGAGAGACAGAGAGCTAAAGCTAAAATCTGA